AAAGACTTGATTTCAAGGTACCAGAACACTCCCTGTAAGCTTCTCAATGACAGGAGCAATCAATAGTTCCTCCCACCTAGCTATGACAACAAAGGCAGCATGGACTAAAAACCTTAAAGGTGTAGTAATGGCACAGACATAGTTTGTGTGTAACCTACAGATCTCTAATTGGACTTAAGAAGTGCTCAAAAAGAACAGAATAATGCCTAGCACTGGAAACCTAGCGAATTGCTCAGGGCTAGTGAAGTGATGGATCATGGAGGGAAACCTAAAATTGCTACTTTACCAAATCAGCATAATCTGAATTATGTTCTAAATAGATGTCATTTTACCCACATATAAGTACAGAAAACCACAACCAATTGTTGCTGAAATTTTCTCCAGTCCTGCCTGGCCCATGGTCAGGACAAATTTCTCTCACCTGCCAGTCCTGCAGCCACTCAGACCCAACCAAGTAAACACACAGAGACTTATATTGTTTACAAATGGCAGGCTTCTTGTTATCTAGTTCGTCTATATTAAATTAACCCATTTCTATTAATCTATACCTTGCAACATGGCTCGTGGCTTACCAGTATCTTACATGTTGGTACTCATGGCGGCAGCTGGCAGCATCTCCTGACTTAGCCTTCCTGTTTGCAGAATTCTCTTCTTTGCTTGTCCTGCCTACACTTCCTGCTTGGCTACTGACCAATCAGGATTTTATTTATTTATTTATTACAGAGCGATATTCACAGCAACCAATCCAAATGCATAGTTGTAAATCCTAGTCCCAACTGATATGTCTACAACACAACTCCTATACCTAAGGCTCCAGTATCATTGTTAAAGAGGTGGCAGAAAGATTAAAGGAGCCAGAGGGTCAGGAATATTTTCTGAATCTGTGTCTTCTAGGCATGTCATAAGCTACACCTATAAATTCTCACTAACATGATTGCCTAAACAAACTGAACAAGGAGAATAATAATAGATATTTTAAAATCAACTGGGGCAATCTCATGAGACCTCAATGCAAGACAAGGAATTGCAAGTAACTAAGGAGTAATGAGAGGTAGAGAAATAATCATTCCCTGTAAAGAGCACACCAATTGATCATTCATTGTCAAATGGTAAGTCCTGAAAATATATAAACATCAGTAACAATATTCAGAATGAGAATGCTGTACTTATGCATTTAGGAATATATGTGTATATGTATGTAACAACAGTTAAAGACTAAGAGGCCATGAATTTTAGAGAGAGTAAGAGGGAGTACATGGGAAGGTTTCAAGTTATGAGAGGGAAAGGGAATTGATGTAATTACATTATAATCCTCAAAATATTTTAAAAACCATCTAAAATACTCAAAAAATAAATGGAATCAAACCCACAAGCAGAGGGAATCTTTCCTTGTAAGAACTTAGATGAAAAACAGAACATAAGGGAGGTTGATGGGAGACAAATATATTTTACATATTATGTTGACATAAACATTGGCCTTTGCTTTTGCTCAAAAATATGTGTTAAGGTTATCTTTTAAGAGTAGATAACATAGGAATTTTGGGGTACACTAATCAAAATTTGAAATAAAGACAGAGGGAAATAGAAGGCGGCACTGAAATCAAGCAAATATGTAAAATATGTGAGAGATCTTTGGACCTAAAAAATAAATAATCCTTTTCTAAACGATAATGTACAATTAATAAGAAGAGTCACACTAACAGTCTCCTGATCATATATGACAATACGTATTTTTTCTTATTAATTAAGTTTATTTTTTAAACAATTTTATATATGTATATACTGCATTCTAATTATTCCTTGCCTTTTCTATACTCTTGTTTCCCTTCTATCCCTTTCTCAGATTCATAACCTTTGGTTTTGTTCTGTGACCCATGTAGTTTAAGCATGAACACCTTTGTTACTACTAGATCAGGACTATCCATTGCAGCCTGGTGGGGAATCACCAATGGATGCACAACCAAAGACATGGACTGCCCCTTTCCATGAGTCTATCTACAGGAAATAATTAAGCAGTGGGGAATAGGGAAACTGCAGTACTCCCATCCTTGCCTGACTATTTCATGGGAACATTCTTTTGTAGAACCAGTGCAGTTGAGCAAACTTTAGTTGTTGAAAATTTGGGATGGCAGAGGCTGTCTATTGCTCAGGGATGGAATTTTGAAGCCTTTTCCACTATCTTCTGGCTATTATGATCTGTCAGCCCGGTTTTCCTCAATTTTCCCTGAGGATTAGAAAGGATGGTACAGATGTCCTTTTTCAGTTTTGAGCACTCAACTATTAGTTATTGTCTGCACTTTATATATGTGTCATTCTCTGCCTTTATCACAGCACACAGGAAAGAGCAGGTTCTCTGTTTGAGTCCAAGAGTGGTAATTGTGTTCGAGTATAAACGTGTTTAGAAGGAATCCACACCATTTAAACATTGCACTGTTGTAGGGGTAGTTGTCTGTACCCTGAAGCACCACCACTAGTAGGCAGCAGGTAACTGCTAGGTCCCCCCGTCCCCAGGTGTGGCTGAGACTGGGACTCCTTAAGACCTTAGAGGAGTACATGCTCGCTCTCTCTTGGCTATCTTGTGGTCTTCGATGCTAGATGCTGGTGCTGTAGATCAAGGCAGAACTCTCCAGAGAACTGCATTGGTCAGCAGCTCCAGCATCCAGCACCCAGCATCCAAGACCAGGAGGTAGTGTCCCTTCTCGGCCATGCCCCCCAAGGGGCAGATACCTAGCAGTTACCTGCTGCTTACTAGGGGCAGTGCTTCAGGGTACAGCAACCACCCCTACATACTGTAGTTGACTTGCTATTTCTATTTATCAGGCACATAGTAGTATCTGTTCATTGTTTCTTATAATCCCATTGTGGCAATCTATTATGTGATAGAGACTATATTGTACGCCTTGGAGAATGTGGTCTAATAAAATAGTCATTTCACAGATATTAAGCAAATGAAAATACAATTATAATTGTAGTTAGAAAGATGAAAGAAATATAAAGGATGTTAAGATAGATATAATGAGGGTCCCGATTCAGAAGAGAAGATGAAATCTGAGATGTTGACACATAATGTTATACCTAAGCTAGGCAGATGAATAGTTCCTTAGAAATAAGAGCCCAAACTAACTGAATATCTAATCTGAAAGAATCACATGGTAAGATCTTGAAGTAAGATCTTGAAGTGGAAACAGAAAAGTTGAATGTAATGCAAATTACTCAAATTTTTATACTGTAATAAACTAATTTATCCCCATTTCTTCCTTCTTAAAAGTGATTATATGTTTGCCATTTGTCAGTGATCATGCTCAGGTAGAACTAAGGATAAATGCCAGCTTTTATTAAAAGCATATATTAACATTTCATAGTATAGTTCCTACTGTACTAAAGCTATTTACTTTATGGATCTCTAGTTTACAAATTGTTATGCTGAATTTTCAGTGATACTTATTACTAGCTCAGAAAGCCTCACATATAAATGCACTTGAGTTGACTGCATTTTTTAAAATGGTTGTCAATTGCTCTGAGACTTAGCTTGAAGGATCCAATTTTTTTGAAAAGATTTGGACACTGAAAAACACTTAATATTTTTTGCTCACTCTAGCTCATGTAAGATTAAGTACCCTGCTACTAGAACCTCTTGGAAAGCTACTTGAAGGATTTTAGATAGCAACGATTCTACTAAACTATAAAATGGCAATAATTTAGTCATATATATTAGCAATGTTTCAACACACTGTGTTTTGCCATTGCCCACTTGTTGATAACAGCGAAACACCAAGATACACTATAATACACAGGTCAAATAAGAGATAATGAGGATTTATGGGCAAATTTAATGATACTTTGAAATTCTTGGGAATCTTTCGTTCTAGCAAGTATGTATGTATAATCAGATATATTTTCTATGAAATAAAAGTCTAGAATAAACAAACTATTTTGATTATTTACATGACTCCTCTGAAGGAGGATTTGTGGCTCTTATCTTGACTCAGATCAGTATACTAGATAAGTACTATGTTAAAACCATTTTACTCCAGTGACTTCGCTGTAGCATAGCTCTGCCGCTGAATATTTGTTAGTCAGGAAAAAAAACAGTATAGAAATTGAAAATGCTACTTCTAATTTCTTACCTTCTTTGTAATTTTCAAATGCCAAAGGATCAATTTCTACAGTCCTGAAGGTGATACCAGAAAGATTATAGTAGCAATGAAAGATTGCAGATGAAAGAGATAAAATATAAAACAATGGCTGGGGAAGGCACCCAGGCATACATTTAAACAGTTGTTAGAATTAGATAAATGAGTAAAACACCCTCTGATGTTTTTGAAGAAATACATTGTAAATCGAATACTTGGAAGATAAGCCACAGTATACGGTTTAAATGTATAAATTTTATGCTAATGAAGCAATGTCATTTCAAATAGTTAATATGAAATTGGCAAATCATAGTTGCACGTATTTATAGGGCACAAAGTAATGTTATGACTTATGAATCTTTTGAAGAATAATTACATCAAGCTAATTAACATGTCCATCACCTCACCCCCAAAACCAACACTTTATTTAAGATAGCTTTAAATTCATAGAAAAGTTAAAGATAGTACAAGGAAGTTTGGTAGCCCCTATTCTTAGTGTCCCTTATGGTTAAATATATTACAATGTCATGGAATATCTGCTAATATCTATTCTTCATTTAAAGTGTCTTTGTTGCAAGCTAATATCAGTATTCCCCCAGAAATCCTTATCCCATTCAATTTAGTTATGTCTCCCATCATACTCTAGTTAGTGAGTATTTCTCAAAGTATGCTTTTGTTGACATGTGTATTTTGAAGAGTAATGATCAGACATTTAATTGGTAGAATTTTATTTCAATTTGGAATTTTATGATTTTTTGACCAGAGTTAGGTTTGGGTTATATGTTATTACAAATAAGAACACATGGAAAAAGTACTATTGCCATTATAGCATATTCATGGTTTATATTACTCATAGATAGGACTTACCACTATTGTCTTTGATTGGCAGACAGGTATTATGCCAGTTTAACTCTAATGTATAATTATTCTTCCTCATTTTGCATGCTGCATTATTTTCCTGAAAGATGTCAGTACATTCAATCCACACTTAGTGATTGGGAAGATATATTCCACTCTGTTGATGGAGAAATATATAAATTATATGTCCCTATGAAAGACTTCTTTTCATCCTTATTTATTTATTGACTAAATTATTCATTTCACTGTGTATTCATGAGTATTGATATTATACTTTATGTAAATATTAACTTATTTTGTCATTCAAAATATATTAGCTTTGGCTATTAACAGTTTTTTAATTTAGCTCCTTTTTATCTTGTGAGCAGGTATTAATTTATTCTGTTGTTTATATAATTTAGCATTAGCCATTATAAATATTTGTCTCCCTTTCACATATACAGATCATTTTGTATTCTTCAGTATTCATATACTTTCTGACTCTTAGCAGGCAGTGTAGAATATTTTGTCTATACCCTGAATTATCCCCAGAATCAGCCTCCTCTACAAAGAGTTCTGGTTCTTTCATTTACAATAAAATTACAACAAGAAGACAAGGGTGCTGAGCATGTGCTCACTGCCATTGTGTATTGTGATGTTCAGATTTATCAACTAGACACAATCAAGAAACACCTGGGGAGAGAATATCAACCAGGATTTGTTGGGTTTGTTTCTACGCATATTTGTGGTGTAATGTCTTAATAAACTCATATGGAAAGACCCAGGTAACTCTGGGTACCAGAAATTCAGAGCATATAAATAGAGTTCAGTGCAAATAGGAAATTGAGCATGTTTCCATTGATTTATTTCAGCTCTTGACTGTGGATATGATGTGAACTAGCTGTTTGAAGTTCCTGTATTGACTTTCTCACAATGATAAACTAACCTGGAGTTATAAACAAAAATAATCCTTTTCTCCCCTAAATTGTTTTCTTCAGAATATGTTTATCACAGAAATAGAAATCAAACTATGACACGTACTATTTTTCTCAGACTCTCTCACATACTGAACTAAGAAGTATGCAAACTGTTTCTAATAACATATTTTATGAGTTACAGATATAAATTATTTACAGATGCTATACATACAACTTTACTGCCTATAATATAATATCTAAGTATTAAGATTGATTCATCTTAACTAGGCTTAATCTTTTAGTTATTACTGAGGTAGTGGGGAGAGATTTCTGCATATATTTCTGAAATTACTTGAAAACAGCAGGAATATGGTCTGAAGAAAAGAGCAAACTACATCAGAAAAAAAAACTAATGTTGCTCTCCACTTTGTTTTATCCAAGAAACCACTGACAAAAATGGCAATAGCCTATATAGTGCCAATATGAATGGTTAAAGCTGGATGTACACAAGTTCCTAATTTAATTAAGCATTTCCCCAAATTTTATTTATTCTGTCAAAGAATTTCACAAATTTTCTATGTGCACATTTTCATTCTTTGACAAAATATATTTTTCTAGAGTAGTGTCTTTTATGAAGTGAGACATGGTAGCTATATGTTATAAATTCAAAATATTCTGTAAATTCTAGTTATTCTTTTTAAGAGATTATCTAACATATGCTGTGGATATCATTCTGTATAAATAAAATACTGATTGGCCAGTGGCTAGGTAGGAAGTATAGGCGGGACTAACAGAGAGGAGAAAAGAAAGAACAGGAAGGCGGAAGGAGACACTGCTAGCTGCTGCCATGACAAGAAGCATATGAAGATCCCGATAAGCCACCAGCCACGTGGCAAGGTATAGATTTATAGAAATGGGTTAATTTAAGGTATAAGAACAGTTAGCAAGAAGCCTACCATGGCCATACAGTTTGTATGCAATATAAGTCTCTGTGTTTACTTGGTTGGGTCTGACTAGCTGTGGGACTGGCGAGTGACAAAGATTTGTCCTGACTGTGGGCAAGGCAGGAAAACTCTAGCTACAAACATAAACCAAAACTAACTGAACACTGGTTATTTTTCATCCATGTGACAATATGACTAAAATAAATGTATTTCTCAAACAAATATGGTTTTTACATATCCTCTCCCCATAATCCCAGTTTCTATTTAACAAATACTTCACAGTATAAATTTTATAGAAGTTCTTAGCCAGAATTCTTAAATTGAAAATTTAAGACAGTATAAAGTTCAACTCTAAGCATCTACAGATTAATTTAATTCATCACCAGTATGCAAATGGGATATTTTCAAAGTAGATTGACTTACCTTTAATTTATTCCATATTTACACATATATATTGTGGGTGTTTGTTAAATAGAAGTGATATATGTTTTAGTAAAGGAACATGAGATACTTTTAGAAGCCCAACACTGAGCAAAGAGATTTATATTATAAAATGTGTCAACTTTCCCCTAGGATCCAGTTTTACCAAGATACACTTGTCATCTCTTCTAATAACTTATAAAATATTATGGCCCTACATGGAGGAAGCAAAATACCTTGGGAACTATTAACTATTTTCCAAATAACGCAGATAATTTAAAAGTGATTTTCAATCACTTTACTTGTTTTTTTTCAATGCTACCTTCTGCAACCCCCCCACACACATAAAAAGGTTTCTTTTTATAAATTTTTGAAAACAGAACAGAGATTTGTGATGCACATGTTAATAATTTCACAGCGAAAGAGGTAAATGCAATATAATTATCATTGAAGCTATGGATATTTATATGTCACAGGGCTTCTCCTGGTACAAATGACAGCATATGCACATTTCCTTAAAATTCCAGGTCCACAACATATCAATGTGACAATGATTTAATTATAGATAGCTACTAAAAGTAATGGTACAGTATATTCAGAAGCATCAGAAACTGAAATTTGTATTAACATAACTTCATTATGCCAGAAGCAAAAGGTACATCATTTGCATATCTAGTCTAGTTTGAAAAACTATGCAAAGAGATCATTTAGTGTTCATCCTCGAGGGTATGGGGAGAAGAAAGCTGAAAATTGAGAAGAACACTAAGCTAAATAAAGCATGTTAAGACAGACAGTTCACTTCATATGATGGCCTAGTTGTTCTGGGATCCATTGCTGAATGCTCACAGCCAAACGGTACAACCTCTCTCCATTTTATTTTCTGAAAATGGAATTGGTATAGGATCATTACTTTTTACAGTCCTAGCTACTGTCCCTGTTTTCAAATAGAATCCTCTTTAGGATTAGATTAGAAATTGAAAATGTTTATATAAATATAGAGATGATATACTTATGACAGTTATCATCAGTCATATATAATGGTTGATAGCCGCTATCAACACTCATGGTGAGCAGGTACTGTTCTGCGTGGTTTGCATATTTTGTCTCATTTAACTTTAGATAATTCTATGGATTAGGTACAATTCTTTTCCTTAATTTACAAATGAAGAAACAATCTCAAAAAGGTTAAGCATTGTGTTCAAATTTCCCATAGCTAGTAGGGAATAAAATGAGATTCAACCTTCAGCAGTGTGATTTCAAGTCTGTGCTGTATAGGAATGTTACAAATAGAAGAGTGCTTGTATTATTTGTAGCTGTATATTGCACTTGGTGTTCAGGTCAGAAGTCAAATATTTCTTTGAGAGGGTAGGAGACAATTTAATAAAAGTAAAATATAAATTATCTGACAAAATCCATTTTTATACACTAAGACATCTTAATGAAAATATTTTGCAAATTTACCAAATAAATCTAAAAGTTTCAGGAATTCATAACAAAAAAATCTTAGTTATATGGCAGGACAGAGATGAGACTCGAGGATAGATTAGTCAGTAGATTATTCTGCATTGTCATATGACTACTTGGAACTTAACTTTCACAATAGTCTGTATAATTTTGGGAGAAAGGAGATAGGTAAAATATAATTTATTACTTTAAAAGTCTTTCCTTCCTTATTCAACTTGCTTATAAGTACTGTTAAACTTACACTGATTCAAGTTTTCACTTGTCTTTATACCCATGAGAAAACTGATGGTTAGTTAATAGAGTTATTTTAATCGACAAAAAGGAAAAGAAGACTACCTAATTCTGTCTAAATAGTCTAGAAACTCTACTAAATATTTTCTCCTTTTCTATTTCAGATTATTACTTATATCTATTATTCATCAAAGCAATATGTTTCTTCCATTTTATCTTTAGATTCTTATTTGAATTTTTCTTTTGCCTCACTAGATTGACAGTCCCTAAGGATCTAAAAGCATAAGCCCCACATTGTTCCAAAGTGAGATTGCATCTGTTTTATTTTTCATCCTTTGACTGATATTGAGCTAACTTGCCTATATAGTTGCTGGAATTATGGATATAAAGTTCTCAATCAATTCATGTTGTTTACGCTAAGCCCAGTAACTTCTTTTTCTTTATGTGATAATTTAAGAATTTAACTTTTTTAAATGATTTCAATACTTTTTTTTCTTTTATTTATTTTATTTTACAATACTACTCAGTTCTACATAACAGCCACAGATTCCCTTGTTCTCCCCCTTCCTGCCCCCCTCCCCCCCAGCCCAACTCCCATTCCCACCACCTCCAGATCAAGGCCACCCCCAGAGGCTTGATCTGTTTGGGAGGCATCTAGGCAGTGGTCCTGGGCTCGCTGCATGAGATAGCTGTTTGAAACCTGGGACTTATACAGGGATGCTTGGCTCAATCTGGGAGGAGGGGACCGGACCTGCCTGGACTGAGTCTATCAGGTCGAATTTAACTTTTTTCCTTTATGAAATTAAGTTTTAAATTCTAATTCAGCAACAACCATGAATGTGAGCACACAGATAAATTATTTATTACCCTAAGTATTCTAATAAGCACCTCTATAAACATCTTATATTTTATGTGCTACATGACTCCAAAATGTGTCAATACAAAATGCCTCATCAGAATAAAATCAATAATTAAACAAAACAGACAAACAAGTAGCAAAGTGTGGCAGCAGAATCCTATAATTTTAGCATGTAGGAGAAGAATTCCAGCTTAGCCCGCACTATATAGCAACAGATTTTCTCAAAATCCAAAGGGGACAAATAGAGAAACACTTTAAAAGTTTATAAACAGCTCACATGGAGGGCAACTTGCTTTTCATCAACTTAGAAAATGAATCATGATTAGGTAACTTTAATATAACCATAATCATTTATAAATGGGAAAAATTAATTGCCCCAGTTTATCCTCAATGGCAAAACAGGCAATCATAATTTTGGGGCTTAACTTTTAAAGGAAGGAATAAAAATTAGAAAAATTGGGTTTTTGCTTAAAATATGTCAAAAATGAGTGGAACCAGTACTCTGTCAGCAAATAATGAGGATGTGTCATGCAAAGTAGACAGAGGAACAAGTTAAATGATATAGTGAGGAAGTGTGAAAAATACAGAACTTGAGATATTCTGTGAAACAACTAGTTACATAGAAAAAAAGAGGCCTATTTAAGAAAGGAAATATTTAAATAGGTATAATTAAATGGCATGGTTTGTTTTTAATTTGGTTTGATAAAAATATATATGAGTAAAAATATTAAGACTCTGTGACTTTAGATAGTGCATATATAACTGTAATAGTATTTAAAATATTATAAGCTATGAAATATATTAAATTACAAGAGAGAAAAAAGCCAGTAGAAGATATTTAGTGGTAGCCATAGTGATTTGTTACTTATTATCTCCAGAAACCTGTTTATTGTGTGATTTGAGCAGTTATAAAATCTCTCAGTTGCTTGCTAAATTCTAAAAGAAATAGTTCATTACAAAATAATTATGAAATTGCAGATCTTCTTGGTAAGACATTCATGACTGCAGCATCATGAATATTGGCCACACAATTCACCTTTCAAAATTTCTTCCTAACTCTTCTACTTTTTACTTTTCAGTTTTGGTTGATTCACTTTTCATGAGCTCAACAAATAAAACCAAAGACCTTCATCACTCTTAGCAAACAATCCAAAAACCTCAACTGAGTCTATAATATCCAGCCTGAACAACTTCATCACTGTGTTTCTCTTCTACATTACCTTTTAGCACACTCATCCTTTCCTTTCTCTGTACTTCCAACTCAATGGTCTTCCATCACTATTTCAGATATACCACATTCTTTCTATCCTGGGCCTTTGCATATAGTATTTGCTTCTGTGAGCATAACTTGATTGTGTTTATTTTTGAGAAGCCTTTTTATAACCTTGAAAAAAGTCAGGTCTCATAAATATACTTTTATAGCATTTTATACATTTTATTTTATTACTTATCACATTTAACAATTGATTATTGGTATAAACATTTTTATTTTCCTCAACCAGATTATGCTTTTGTTGTTGTTGTTGAGTTTTATTATTTATTCATTCATTCATTCATTCATTCATGTTTTTTACATCCTGACTGTCACTTCACCTCCCTCCTCCACTCTCAGTATCTCCCACATTCACCCTCTGCTCCCATCCCCCAAACCACTCCTCATTTTTATCTGTTTAGGAAAGGGCAAGTCTCCCACAACTATCAACATAACATGGCATACTAAATTGTAGTAGGACTAAGCACCTCCCTTAGTTATAAGGCTGGACAAGGCAACCTAGTATGAGGAGCAACTTCAGTTGTCTATTTTAGTAATGACTTGATCAGCATTTTTCTTCTCCTTAGCTCCATTATCAGCACCACATGAAAACACATCATTCATCATTCCTCAATTACTTACCTAATTTGGAATCTGGGATAGCACACACTTCTTTTTTCTTTCACCTCTCCAGATTTTCCCTTCCAAATTCCTTTTCAGGTTCTTTCCCATTTAACATATATGAAAGAAATGAGATAGTTTATTAAAGTACTTGTGGTGACTTGGCAATAAGATTTAGGTTATAGAATGAAAACTTAAAGTAACAACAATTGCAACTAAAATTAATGAAGAATGCTAAGAAAAAAGAAATGTTCTTTTATTCAGAAAAACCCTCTGAGAAAAAGTGGATGAGTATTTTCTCAGTATTAGTCATTTATTCAGTTATCTATGTCCTACTATAAACCAATAGATATTACATCCCCCCTCATGTTTTTGTACCCACACTTGTGTACCTAATCTATTTCTTCTTCTTGGCTCATGAAATTCCTCTATCAACAATCACATATATGTCCATATTAAATTTCTACAGTGCTTTAAAATTAAGAAAGTAATAAGATATATCTATTTTAAAGTTTGTATTAGCATAAACTAATTATACTTAATATCAGATTTCATTATTACATTTTCATGAACTCATTTTATGTATTTTGATTATATTCAACTCCCATTGCACATTCTTGCCCCCTTCTACTCCCTCTTATCTCTTTCCACTTCCCAACTAGTTCCTTTCTACTTTCAAGGCTTTTTGGTTTCGTTACCCAGTAAGTTTAGTAAGGTTTTGCGTACAGGAGTGTGGTTGAAGGGTGATTTATAGAATGGGTAACTTACCAGGATATACTCCACTAGAGAAAATGTCTCTTTTTCTCCTAGCAACTGTTAACTTACTACAAATTCTCAGGGGGTGGGGCCTCTTGAGCCCCTCCCTCTCTGTGATCTCATGTACAGGCAACTTAGCTGCTGAGAGTTCAAGAATGCCCTGCCATATCATGAGTAGAATACAGTGGTTTATACTTCTCTAAACTTCATGTTCTTAACATTCTTTCTGCCCTGCTGTGGGATGTCCTGTATGCTGTAATATATGTTGCTATGACTGACTGATAAATAAAATGCTGATTGGCCAGTAGCCAGGCAGGAAGGATAGTGTAGGCAGGACAAGGAAGAGGAGAATTCTGGGAGGTAGAAGGCTGAGGCAGGAAGACAGGACCAGCCACCATGAGGAGAAGCATGATGTAAGACAACAGTAAGCCATGAGCCATGTGGCAAGGTATAGATTTATGGAAATGGGTTAATTTAAGATATAAGAACAGATAGCAAGAATCCTGCCACGGCCATACAGTTTATAAGTAATATGTCTCTGTGTGTTTACTTGGGGGATGCTAGTAGGAGAGATTTGCCCTGACTGCTGGTAGGCTGGGACACAGGAAAACTTCAGCTACACTTGCCCCTCTTTTCCATGATGTTAATTGACCCTTTGAGTGGTTGATAAAAACTTTACTTTATGGAGTAATTAATTTTCTATTTTCCATACCGCTCCTAAATTTTAATGTCCAATATAAATTGATTAATATAGAAATTTTTAGTAACAGTAACACATCTAAGACAGAACGTCAAAGTGTCATTGCAGTATATATGTATCTTCAAGATTTTTCTCTTCCTAAAATGGTATTACAAATAAGGCTTGACTGCATTTATGTACTTCAGCTAAAATATACCTACAGGAGACTACATTTAGAAGAAGATATGAAAATTATTAAGTTGTATATGAAAGAAAATTGGAAAACATAAAGTGCTATTTTCTTGGCACTATTTTCATTTGGAAAATATGATATTTAACCGAAATTGTATCTAGATTGCACATAGGTTTGTGATTGTTATTTTTAAATATTTAAAATATGTATTTTAGTTTTAAAGCCACAAATTCCGATTGGAATGATAGAGATCACAAACTATTTACCACATAAAGAGATGCCCCTTAGGGTCCTCAATAATTTGTCAATAATGGAAAATATTCCTTATCTGGTAAAGATTAAGAACCATAGCTTTGAAAAAAATTGCCTTTCAAATAATGTCCACTGAACACCTGAACTAGAGTCATGTGGGACACTATAGATCTTGGAACTCTGCATGATGACAGAAACCTGTCATCCCAGAACATAGTGTGGACAAAGGAAAATTACCCACTTGATGGCAGCTTCAGGCACAGAACAAGATCTACACCTACCTAGATTACACTGAGAGTTCCAGACAACAAAGACACTGTGTTGAAGTCATATATCAAAAACAAAAACAAAAAAAAATTATATATAATGAAACCAGCTCTGCATGCTTATAAACCTCAACATTATATTTCCCTTCTCTTATTTTCCCCTACCATAAATCTTGGGCTGTCTTTCACATACATACTCAATAAAAGACATATTTATTTAAGGAGGCTCAAAATGGTTTACTTATATCAACACAAGCTTTAGACTGCAACACAGGCTTTGGGAAAAGATAATTTTTATGTTTTTCTTTCCCTATAGTCTCAGCCATCAAGGAAGCTGAACCAGGAGGAATGTTTAAGCCTTGAGGTGGAAACACAAGGAGACCATGTCAGAAACAAACCAACCATGCTTTTCTTTTAGTTTTAGTGGCAGTAGGAAGATTTGGTAATTTCACAGGAGGCATGGGATATCATAAAAGAGTACAAGGTGGGATCATGCAGTGAGGAAGAGAATTCCGCATACTAGAGAAATTCAAGCACTGAAAGAGCTCAGATTTCCAAGGATAGGAGAGATCTACCCATGGTGAGGTAGAGTTACCAGAGAAGAAGGAATGCTCAAAATGTGAGGGCAGGGGTTTCAGAATCATTGGGTGCTACAGAATGTGTGAGCTGAATGTGTGATTGAGGAGGAGGTTCTTTCCAGATGTAGGGGTTTATGGGGTGTGGGGGGGCATTCTGGAGGACAGGTGTCCAGGAGCACAAGTGTTTTCTGATGTGGAAAATTAAAAATATGAGGAGCACCCAGAAGTTAGAGGAACTGGAAATTTTGAGACTTAAGGCATTTACACAGGAGGGTGGTTAGGGGATTCTGGAGGGTGAGGGCAATAATCAGCGATTTCTAGCAGGGTGTTTTAAGGGGTACAGTGCTTCAGAAGTGACGGTGGCAGTATTACATATGTGGGAGAAACCATTTTCAAGAAGGTATGTAGAGCAGATTGTGTAACAGAAGTTGTACACTGTTAAGAAGTGAGAAAGGAAGTGGGAGAACAAGGAAAGAGAGACCATGATAAATGTAGACCCCATGTGAATAGGAAGAAGCAGAGTGCTAGGGAGGTCCCCAGACATCCACAAAGATAACTCCACTATAGACTACTGGCAATGGTCGAGAGAAAGCACAAGCTGACCTATTCTGGTGATCTGATGGCCGAACACCCTAACTGTCATGATAGAACTTTCATCCAATGACTAATGGAAGCAGATGCAGAGATCCACGGCCAAGCCCCAGGTGGAGCTCCAGGAATCCAACCAGCGAGAGAGAGGAGGGATTGTATGAGCAAGAGATATTGAGACCATGATTGGAAAAAGCACAGGGACAAAGAGACAAACTAGCAGAAACACATGAACTGTGAACCACTAGCTGAGGAGCCCCCATGGAACTGGATCAGGCCCTCTGGATAAGTGAGACAGTTGATTAGCTTGAACTATTTTGGAGGCCCACAGGCAGTGGAACTGGGACCTGTCCTTAGGGCATGAGCTGGCTTTTTGGAGCCTGGAGCCTATGCTGAGACACTTTGCTCAGCCTTGGTGTAGGGAGGAGGGGACTGGACCTGCCTCAGCTGAATCTACCAGGCTGAGCTGACTCCCCAGGGGAGATCTTGCCTTGGAGGAGGTGGGAATGGGGGAGGGAGTATGAGAGAGGAAGCCTTGGAGGTGGGAGGAGGGAGGACAGGGGAATCTGTGGCTGATATGTAAAATTAAATTAATTATAAAGCAAAAAAAATGTAGAAATAAAAATAGTAGTGAGAAAGGGAGCATGGGGTTTCAGAAACTAGGGGACTGAAGAGGTGTTATGTGTCAGGGAGTAATGGGAGAGGCAAGAATTCAATGGTCACATGGCCAGGTGTTTTGTAAGTAAAACTGGAGAGGTTGGAGTTGCCAAGGTGGTGGATTTTTCTTAGAGAGGTGTTCAGAAGTGCTTAATCCAGTTCCCTGAGATGGTAGTCTTTGAGAGTTGAAGAGGTAGTAGTGTATCCCTGGCAGATCCTTGGCACCCGCACTTATTATTTACTTCTGCTAATGAATAGAGAAGGTCTGCACACACAGAATCTTGGAAGAATTCCATCTAGGGATTATTATATAGTTTTGAGACTATAATCATATGGTAATATCTGTTAAAATTATAAACAAAACAGAAAATAATATCCCCTCACATCAAATAGTTCTTTTATTGCTTACAAACAGCTAAATGTTGTCATATACATGATCATTCATCTAGACATAATGTTTACTTCCTTTCATGGAAATACTTATTTACCATCGTATCAGCATGCCAGTAGTAATCAGGAATATGAAGGCTAGTTCATGCTAGCTGGCACGACAAACTATGATAGTATAAGTCAGAGTACTCTATTTTTCAGCTTATAAATAAAAATTAGTGAAACATTAATGTAATCCTAACATGTGGAAGGCCAAAGCAGCTATATCATGTTCAAGGCCACTGAGAGCTACATAATGAATGTCAAGTTACCCTGGGCTGTATGTATAGGTATATGTATGTTTGCATGTGTATACAGGAAGAAAGAGAGAGGGGGAGAGGGGCAGGAGGGGAGAAGAGAAGAGAGGAGATTCTGAGACAGCAACAAAGACCAGTTAATTCACATGAATAATCCAGCATAACCCACAGCGATTCATTTTATTTTTGCTTTTAATTTCTCTGGTTTTGTTTGTTTGCTTGGTTAGTTGGCTGGTTTTTCTGAAGCAGCATCTTCTTATTCAGTCAGACTAGTTGTGAACTTGAGCCTCCTTTGTCAGTCACTTCAGTGTTGGGATTATCAAACTGTCACCAAGCCTGCTCACTGTGATAATTTAATCATCACATTAAAGTCAGAAAAATCAACTAAATATGAATACTGTGAATCCTGATATGTTGAAACCATAGATCTTACACATCTTGTTAACATTAATACTGTTTAGCATCCTGAGTCTATGTTTTTAACTTCCTCTCTCCTCAAGAACAAATTCCATGTACATCATTAATAAATCAGTCATTTCTTAAGGAAGCTCAAAAATTTCACATATCAGTGAACTTGCAGAGGCAGAAATATAGAAAACAGGAAAAAGACTTTCCCTTTTCTTTCTATTCTCTGTTATTTTAAATACCATAATCATGTTTTATCACTAAATAGTATATTAAAGTCATTTTTTCTAGGTTTAAAAACCTCTATCACTGTTGATCACTGATTAGTGTTATTTTCTGTAGATAGACCAGTATATTTAATTGGATTATTGCTGTTACCAAAAATTTTAAACTGGAAAAGGTTGCTTTACCCTTTTGCATTAAATCTAATTTTATAGTACTATCATTGAAAATAATTTTCAATTTATATATTCTACAATAACATCTTAGTATTTTTTAATTTTATCCTTTTATCTCAAAATTGCCAGTCAGCTGTACCTCAGATTTATCTATTTAAGCCTTGCTTTTAATATCATCTCATATCAATAGCACCGATATATAAAATTTACACATGGCACTCTTAACATATTTGAATAGTGGATTTGCTGTCCCGCGTGCTTTTAATTATTCTTTTCTAAATTAGTTTGTAAGCTATTCCTAAAGCAAATTTCAAGTTGGTTTTAATTCCATACCTTCAAAGCAACTACTACATTGGTGAATATATAGTATGTGGCCATTATATTAGTATTAAGTGTTGGTTGAAATGAATGATTTACATTATTGTATTCAGGATTGTGAATGCATGCCTTTTAATGAGCTTAATACTGGAATAAGTTCTATAAAGGAAAAACAGAGTAAATGACATCAGATCATGTCTTTCACGCTTATAAATCTAGCTATGAAAATTAAATCACATGAGTGGTTAAACAAGATTGTCATTCCAAAATATAATCTATGATTAAGAGAGAATGAAGGAAAAGCAAATCAGTGACTTAAGTATTGAAAAATGTGCATGTACTCTTGAGCATTAAAATATATTCTGAGCCATTTTTAAGCAGGAGAAATACACTGAGTAACAAGGAAGGATGTGAGAACTTGGGGTTTATGCATAAAATTTGAGAGAAAATTAAACTCCCAAATGCTAAGGCCAAAAAACAAATCACGATGAATGCCAAACAAAAGAGTCTATACCTCTTAATATAGTCAATTACTAAGCTCTTATGTGAATTGTGCGTTTCATGCATAGTGGACATCTATTTTGTGATAAATTGTTGGACAAATTTTCTTATAATAGTCCAATGTGCTCATAAACAGAGGCTTACCCTACTGTAGCAAACTACCAAGTAATTAAGTTGACAATAAAGGAAGTTCTAGTTTATTTCAGATTTGACATTATGATTATTTTATTTATTACAAACTGATGATGTCCTCTACATGATTGTTTCATGTAGACATACTTAACTTCCTTCCATGGAGACACTATCTTATCAGATAAAAGGTAGAGAGAGGAAAATTAGCAAAAGCTGCTATCTAGCAATTAACAAAGTAAATGATGTTTTAATATTTAGAAATTGGTTGCTAAAAGAATAATACCATAAACCTGAAATTTTAGTGCACTAATGTGATTTGTTGTGTGGCAGTAATACAATTTTAAATTAGGCAAATTAAGTGGACAATTTATATACAAATTATGATGTGATTAAATGACAAAAAAGCTTATTAGAAATAAGTATGTTCTTTTACAAAGAAACTCTGTGTGAGAATGAAGGTTAATACATGAGGAAATAGCTTGCTCTTTTCCTAGGGGAGCTGAAATGTATCAGAAAAAAACATAGGTGTGCAGGTATGAAAAATGACCTATGCAGTTCTGTTATAATGCTTAACACACACACACACACACACACACACACACACACACACACACACACTGCCATATAAAAACCCTGCCTCATTGTAGAAGCAAAATCCAATTCCCAGAAGTTGTTCTCTGATCTCCACATATAGTGTGACACACATGCACATGTGTGCACATTACATACTTATCTCTCAACTCCCACAGACAATAAATATATAAATCATTAAAAACAGGAATTAAGAAATTTACTTATGATTATCACCAGATAAAAGAGATGGTTTATAACTAGGTCTTACTCTGGACAGTGAAGTATTATTGGAAGTAGAAAATTAGATGGGGCTGGAGACAAGGCTTAGCAGATAAGAGCACTAGCTTCTCTTCCAGAGGATGTGGGTTCAATTCCAAATGCTCATATGGTGTAACTCCAGTTCCAGCCTCTGCAAGTACTACACACATGTGGTGCAAACACATACATGTGAGCTAAATAATTACACACATAAAACAAATAATGTTTTTGTGGTATTGTATTCCCCCAAATATTGTGCATGCTAATAAACTTATCTGGGGTCAGAGACAGAGCAGCCACAATATTAAACATAAAGGATAGGCAGTGGTAGCACACACCTTTAATCCTAGCATTCCAGAGGCAGAAATCCATGGTGTTCAAGGATACAGGCAGGCATGGTGACTCATCATGCCTTTAATCCCAAAAAGCAAGCCTTTAATTCCAGGGAGTGGTGGTAGAAAGCAGGAAGGTTTAAAGGGTGTGAGGACCAGAAACTAGAAGCATTTGGCTGGTTAAGCATGTGGCTGGTTAAGCTTCAGGCTTTCCAGCAGCACAGTTCAGCTGAGATTCATTCTGGATGAGGACACAGAAGCTCCCAGTCTGAGGAAACAAGACCAGCTGAGAAGTTGGCCAGGTGAGGTTAGCTGTGGCTTGTTCTGTCTCTCTGATCTACCAGCATTGACCCCAATAACTGGCCTCAGGTTTGATTTTATTAATAAGAACTTTTAAGATTCATGCTACATGTTTTAGAAGAACACATAGAATTAGAGAACATATGAAATGTATTTTTAGGATAATTTTTCAAAGAACTGCATACAGTATATGTAAAAACCTAGGGAACAACTTGGAAGCTTCAGTAACCATAGTGGTCAACTAGCTTAAAAATTTGTGTAATTTTTATTCATAGCTAATATTTACTCCAAATTAAAAAGAAAGGTAGAGAAACTCTCATGATGTCAGATAATGAAATAGTAATGATTGGAGTTTCTGGTTACTTGAAATCAGAGAACACATCATAAAAGATAATGCTTATAAGAGAATCACATTCAATATAATGATTAAAAATTGTTTATAACTATCTTAAGATATTCATTTAAGAAGTAACATAATCAGTGAGTTTTATGACTCTTTTTCCTGTTTCTTTCTCAACAATTAAGAGATTTTTTTATGAGACTTGAAAGAGTTACTGATTTATGAGACAACTTTCTTATTTAGTACTTGTATTCAATCATGGTGCACTCGCCTTTCTTCCTTCATTACTGAGTTAAAGAACAATAATGTATAAAGTAACTTCACATTGAATGCATTAATATTAGATTGCTGAAGCATTGCTGTTCTCTACATGCAAGAATATAATTTAAGAGAAAAGCCTGCCAGAGGACAGAATAAGTGATCCAAGGACTCCAGTTGTCATATAATAAAAAATATGACTTTCAGTTACAAGGAAAATTTTACATATTCCCTAATTTTAAAGACGTGACACACTTGTAAAATATACCAAATACAGATCAATTAAGTCCATTAGCCTTAATGCTAGATCATACATATTTAACTGAGATGGGAATTTCTACGTATCCTTGCAAAATGCATAATAGAGAATACTTATTGGTATGCAATTTACATAAATTATCAACATTTATTTTGTAATTAATTAATTACTTTTTTGTGTATGGGTGTTTTGCTTGCATGATGCTTATGTACCACATGTATGTCTGGTACCCACAGAAGCCACAAGAGGCATGAGATACATTGGAACTGGAGTTAAATGTTGTGAAGCATCACGTGGAATCTAGCAATAGAACCCAGGTTCTCTGGAAAACCAACAAGTGCTTTTAACCACTGAGCCATCTCTCTAGACTCCATCATTTTATTTCTTACATCGTTACCAAATGGTACAATTTCTATATTTATTTATTTATTGGATAAGAAAACAGCTTTAGGGAAATGTGATTTATCCAGGGCCATAAAAGCAATAATATGGTAAGAATTAAATCCTGGCACTTTGTCTCCAGAGCTGTTCTAATGTGAAACTCACAGGGATATGGATCATTATAATGCACCTTTCTAAGTGAAAATCTTACACAGGACTAAGAAATTTGATTCCATATAACAATTAGTATTAACAAATTGAAGAAAATAGTTCCAATATTTAAAATAATTATATTTAACTGTGTAAATCTCAAAAGAGTTTCACATATTTTATAGGTAGCCTCATCTGCTCAAAGTAAAGGGCCCTTCTGTTCCTAGGGATAATTACGTGGAAATGTTTTGGGGGTATTTTTCACTTAATTTTGAATAAAATACTTTGGTATTACCTTTGAATGTATTAGAATTAATGAAACCTATCTTTTTCTCTAGGTAACTTTGTATTCCTTGTTGGATCACTATAAAACTTTTGTGTAAATCAGAGAAATTTGAGGACTGGTGCTCCTAAAGCTGAAGGTAAATAAAAGGTATTAATGCAATAAAAGAGTGGCCATGACTGTAACATAATAATTTCAGTTCTAGTTCCAGGAGTTCACTTTTGTTCATTAAACGTAATTCTTTAATAGAACATATAGCCAGGCAGTGGTGGCACACGCCTTTAATCCCAGCACTCGGGAGGCAAAGTCAGGCAGATCTCTGTGAGTTCGAGGCCAGCCTAGTCTACAGAGTGAGATTCAGGACAGGCACCAAAACTACCCAGAGAAACCCTGTCTCGAAAAACAAACAAACAAACAAATAAAAAATAGAACATACAATGCCAAACCATCTGTTTTTATATCGAGGTTGTTCTAATAATAAAATATAGGACTTTGAGAAGTTAGAATACCAAGGAACCTCTTATTGTGTTAACTAAAATGTTACAGTTAAAGGAATGCATTTAGTTGAATACTACAGTAAAAATGATGAAGTTGGATATTATTGTTCAATCACAGCTATGACCACTTTCCACATAATGTTGATGATAAGTATTCACTATTAGTGCACTTGAAAGCTGGATTTATTCTATGATCTACTTCTAAACCAAAATCCTAATAACAATTATCTATGGGATACATAATAATAAAAATAAGTATAGTAACCCCCAAATTTTGTAGTGATGAGTATACAGAACCACCTAGAATGTCCATCAAACGTTCACTCAGTGGACATTAGACTGAATTGGATAGCTCTCAAATACCTACCACTTCTAAGGACAACTGATAACTCTAAAGTTCATATAATCAACAAAAAAAAAACTAAGTGAAAATAAATGTATTAGCTGACTACGTAAACCTAACTCACACAACACACTACATAGAATCTTACTCTGCTGGGTATGGTGGCACATGCCTTTAATCCCAGCACTTGGAAGTCAGAGGGAAGTGGATCTCTCTGAATTTGAGGCCAGTTTTGTCTACATAGAGTTTCAGGACAGCCAGGGCTACATGGACAACTTTTCTGAGAGAGAGAGAGAGAGAGAGAGAGAGAGAGAGAGAGAGAGAGAGAGAGAGAGAGAGAACACACTCCAAAAATGCTAAATTTTAGCCATAGACGAAGTTTAAAAAAAAGAGGGGTTATCAATATCAAGAACAGAAGCTATTATTTCACAAATTTGATGCTATTATATTTTAAGATATAGGTAATTGCAAACAAATTTAATTTTACATCTTTATAATGGAATAAAAATATACAGAGCCTTGAGATACAGTAAATTTGTATTAGATAAGACAGACCATGTAGCTTAGGAGTAGGGAATTTTCACGATGAATGGGGACAAATTATAATGTGCAAATATTAAATGAATATTTATTTGTCTTTAAAGTTATTTTATTATTATTTTTATTTCTATGTGTATCTTTTGTGTTTTGTTTTGTTTTTGCCTGCGTGTATGTCTTTGCACCATATGTGTGTTTGGTGTCTGTAGAGATTAGAAGACAACACAGATACCAAGGACTGCTGTTGCAGAATGTTGTGAGCATTTATGTGGGTGCTGGGAATCAAACTAGGGTCCTCTGGAAGAGCAGCCAGTGTTCTTAAACACTGAGCCGGGACGAAGAGATGGCTCAGTGGTGAAGAGCACTGGCTGATCTTGCAAAGGATCCAGGTTCAATTCCCAGTACCCACATGGCACCTCACAACTGTCTGTACTCCAATTCCAGAGCATCTGTCACCCTCACACAGATGTACATACAGATAAAACACTGATACACATAAAATAAATAAACTATTAGGGGCTGGGGAGATGGCTCAGCAGTTAAAAGCACTGACTGACTCCTCTCCCAGAGGACCTGGGTTCAATTCTCAGCACCCACATACCAGCTTACAACTGTCTATAACGCCAGTGACAGAGGATCTGACACCTTCACACCATTGTACATAAAATAAATTTAAAAAAACACTGAGCCATTTCTCTAGCCTCAGGTATTTTATTGTAAATGTGATTTTGGGGTTGTTGAAATGAAAGAGGACATTCTATAAGTAAATATTAGACAGGCTGTTTAATGACCTTATAACTATTTGGATCAAATAATGTTATACATGTCAAGAGATTCTCACCATACATTGTATTTCTCCCCTCAGTCAAATTACAGTTTGAAAGGATTTGTCTGTATGTAGATTCATGTGTTACCTCTAAAACATAAATTAGAGCATGTACAGGAGAAATTGCTAAGAGTGTTTAAAATCATAACAAGAAAGGTTTTGTATACAAATTAATGATAATAGACAAAATGCAAAATAGCAAATATCTCTATTTTACGATCCATTATTAGCACTCTTTCAAAGATGGAGAACAGATGCAGGAAACTGAAATGAACTGTCCAATATTTAGAAGAGTTAGTACAGGAAGAAAACAGAATCCAGCTCTGGGAATTAATTGTGACTCCAGAGTCTATACCGAAGAAAAAATATTTTTATGGAAATAAATAAAATAAAATGTTTTTGTTGCAAATCTCTCCACTTTAACTCAAAGAAAAGTTTCTGTGATATATATATATATATATATATATATATATATATATATATATATATATTTCTATAAGAAAATGAACAATGGAAAACATGCTGTTTTTTTACTTGTAATCATTCACTTAAAAATAGAATGTAACCACATTATAAAACAGAAAAGAAAATGAACAAGTTTGAATAGTAATGCATATGTATTTGGTTCTATCTGCAAGGATATCTGCATTACCATGAGACTATTTTTCCTTCAACACAAGCATAAAATGAAATTAACTATGTTTCTTTTATTCTGCCTTGAAGTTGACAGATAATATATCAAGCCATTATGCTACTCCTATCCAAATAAATTATAAATTTTTGAATAAGTTATTGAGGTTAAATACATATTAACACTGTTCTCTACTTAAATTCTTTGACATTTTCCTGTCTTCAATAAGATATACAAAATACAAATAAACTTATAATTTATAGATGGGTATTGTAAGAAAAAAAATCCTTGAATACCCCTGTAAAAGTATCCCTCTGTGATATGATGTTACATCCTTGAACAGTGTATGCAGTTTTAATTTGAAAATTATCATTAAACATAAATAAACAAACTAGACAAATGGGATTACAATAACCTGAAAAGCTATGATCGGCAAAAGAAACAATCAACACTGTAAAGAGTAAAAGTGTAGAATGGAAAAATATGTCTGCAAACCATTGATCTCGTAAGTGACTAATACTCCAAATAGATAAAGCATTCAAGGAATCAAAAAAATAACTAGGTTTCAAAATGGATCAAGGAACTAAATATACATTTTCAGAGTAAAACATACAAAGACAACAGATACATGAAAAACAATGTTGTATTTCATTAATCATTGAGGAGTAAAAAATTAAAACCACAATGAAATATCATTTCACTCCTGTTGAAATGGTTATCATGAAAAAGAAAGACTACTAATCACTGTTAAGGATGTAGAGCAAAGGGAAACCTTTAACTCTCTTGAAGCAAGTACTAATTAATAAGCCATTACAAAAATGAGTATGCTGAAGAAACAAAATCATTATGTCAGGAAAATTGCTGCTGCCTGTGTTCACTATACCATTATTTGAAATGAGCAAGATATAGAACCAATCTAAGTGACTAAAAACATGAGAAGAAAATTGGAATGCATATAAAATTAAGAGTAGTTAGCATTTAAAAAACAAAAAAACACTAGAAATCTTATTATTTGAGACAACACAGATGAGTATGGAGGGCATTATGTAAGAGAAGTAACAGAAACATGCACCAAAACAGGCACAGAAACATGAACAGATGATCTAGCAGTCTATGACCTAGCTAGCTAAAATGCATATGTGAACATATATGCACACATATGTGTCATGTTATGTGCTATACACACAATTTTACTTGAAAATTCTTTTAAATTATATCAATTATTCAAATCATTTCTTTATCTGCTATTGCATTAACTATAACCTTAGTTTGTACACTTCACTGCACATTGACTAAAATGTAATTAATTCACAGGCAATTACTTTTAAAAAATCAAAAACCATGTCTATACACATTCCGTTCCTTTGTATTTTTTACGAAGGAATGAGAATGAAGTATATTATACTGAGAATAATTTTGTGAAATAATAGACTATAGTTTTAATATTACTTTTCCATCACAATCTATATCATCTTAAAATTATTTGTATTTTATTTGTAGTAAACAGGTGTTTCTGTTGTAAGAAGGACAAGGGCATTATTTATGCTCCTGAAAAGTGCTAAATACAATTTCTATAGTTATACTGTATATATCTATACACTGACAACTCCATAAAATCAACTTGTCTTTTTTTTATTTGTTCTCTGTATTTATCCTGCTGCTGTGTATTTCTATCTCTCAAACATTTGGAGTAGAACTGAAAGATCAATGATGAAATTTTTGCAGCTTAATTGTCTCCATTGTAATGAAATTCCGTTATTCCACACTGTGGTTCTTATTCCGTACTGAATATATCTAATAAATGCATACCTACCAATTAGGAGGTTAAAACCACTAGACACTGGAACATAATGGACTATCATAAACCCACACATATATAGTCAATTAATGTTTGACAACTGTGCAAAGTCAAATAAGTGGAGAAATAAAAGTCTCCTGACATTGAACCAACTGTATATCTTTATGAAAAATACTAAATTGACATCAATCCACATATTTTTGTCATACACCAAAACATCAGCTTTATTAGCACACTGAAAAGCATTAAATTTCTAGAAAAAAATGAAAAAGAAAAATATCTGTGAGTTTGGATGACACATGGTACCTGGAAGAAATATTACTTGGACTTCATAAATGTAAAAAAAAAAAAAAAGCTTCTGCTTTTCGAAAATTATGAAGGGCAGTGTTGAGAGAGGATACAATAAGTTCAGACTAGATTTGCCAGTGTTTTAGATGATGAAGGACTCATACAAACAGTATAAAAGACCACTCATAGAATAATGGCAATGCAAATAACATGCATTTTTAAAAAGGGAAAATATGAGTACACACTTCATAGAACACAGGTGACTGGTAAATCATCATATGAAAAGATGGTCAACATCAGTAGTCATTAGGGAAATGCAAATAAAAACCACAAGACTATGCTATCACTTATCTATTAGGATGGTTACATTTAAAAACACTGACCACACCAAATATTTTTACTCTTGGTAGAGCTGAAAATAACTTATTTGAGAAATAGGTAATTTCTTTTAAAGGCAAACATGTACCTACCATGTGATCCAGCCATTCCACTCCTAGGAATGTTTTCTAAAAGAAATGAAAACATATGTCCATTCAGATACTTGTACACAATGGAATCATAGCAAGTATATTCAAAAACTCAAAATCACACAAATGAATAAGAATAAATTATTGTACTTACAGAACATATCACTACTCAGTTAAAAATAGGGAAAACACTCTTGATACATACAAAGTGGATAAATTTCAAAACATTTGTGCTAAATAGAATACAGGCAAAAAGTTGTGAATATCCAGTGATATTGTTTATTTACAAATGTAAAAAATGAAAATTGATCTATAGGAACATAAAACAGATTAGTGGTTGCCAATGGACAGAGGGAGAAATCACAGATGCATAGATGTATGAGAAAATTTTTGGTATGACAAAAAAAGTCCATTATCTGAGTGGCAGAGATGATGTCAAATTGTAGAGATTTACTAAAGTTTGTTGTGTATATTATATTTTAATAGTTTTTTAAAATAGGAAATGGGAGTTTAGTCCAATAAAACTGTCAAGATGATCCTTGATCCCCAACTGACACACCAATTAGGAAAAAAAAATGAACTAGTGTCTGTAGCATGGCTCATTGGTAAAGATGCTTGCCATGCCAACTGAGACACATGGTAGAAAGAGAGAAGCAACTCCCAAATTTGTCCTCTGACTTCCATATGTACTCCTGGGTAGTACACACACACACACACACACACACACACACACACACACACACACACACACACAAATTACACAATTTTAATTTAAAAGTTTAAAACAATTAAGCTGCTTATGCATAGCTTTAAAGATATTTTTACCTGAATACAACACTGCCACACTTGTCAGTGTGTGTGCGTGCATGCGCGCGCGAGGTAACAATACAAGGGACTATGTATATTTATTTCAGGAAAGCTCTAAACAGTTCTCAAAAAGCTATGTGTAGCCTGAGTAACAAATTTTGTGACAAATATTATCTCCTGTAAAGAATGAGAATTTAGTATCTGCTAAAACATCACAAAATAATAGAATCGACACAGCATTCATTGGGGAAGAAGTTTATACATTATCTTTTGATGAAAAGCAGGCACATAATGTACTGGAACTAAATCATGTAAATATACTTACAGTATAAAATATATGCTGTATATGGTGCAACATAAATTGCTTACATGAAGAAATGCCTATGACTTTAAAATATATATGTATATATATAATGTTATATAATATAAATAATAGACAAAAATGTCACATAATAACTAAAGAAGAAGATATGCACATTAAAGTGCACTATGAATGGAAACTGTCATTTAATTTCAAAACTCACAGTTTATTGAAAAAATTCATAAAATCATAAAAATTCATATTTTGTATGAGTTATTTATGAGTTTCTCATTTCTTATCTAAGAATTTCCAATATAAGTTTGTGAATATGAATTTATAATTTAAAATTATAAAAATCTTCTAAAGAGATAACTTTAAATTTAATCCTACAATAGAGTATTATATGGTATATTAGAGCAGTGATATTTTCTAAAATATTCATGGTTGCCTTAATTCAAGGCCCAAGTAACTTTACTTTTTGGATTTCAACACTGATTAATTCTTTTTTTCATTCAGTTGGCGATAAGAAGATAACAAATAATTGCTGAATAGAAAATAAAACTATGAAAAGATATTGAATCTTACTGCTAATCTATGAAATGGATGTTTATAGCATTGAGAACATATTTGGAAATATTAGTTAAACTGAGAATAGTAATAGTCTCTTGCAATATCTTGAGTTACATTTGATTTATTAATTGTATTTAATATACTAATTTATTTCAATCAGTTCATGTAATTTCAAAAAATATAAATTGACCTGAAAAGTCCCTTACTGTTGAAGCAGATCTGCTATACACAGAAAGTTTTGAGGCCACCTGAGACTCACAGTGTGACTGTCTCTAAAAACAACAACAAAGATTTGCCCCATTCTATTATTTGCTGAAAATTTGTGTCCAATAAATCAATAAAGAGAATGTAGAAATAGATCTTTTGGATAGATCAATTCAACTTACATGGTAAATAAGGGGATTTAATATGTACAGAAGGAGAGATTACTAAATAAATATTTCACAAAGAAACAGGTAGCTACAAAAATAAAAATTTAAAATATCTATGGTTATAGGTATATCTCAGTGATAAAGCACCCTAACATGTGTGATTCCTGTATTCCAGACCCACCTCAGAAAAATAAACAAACAAATCTAGATCTTAATTCATAACTGACTCAAAAATAGGTAACATGTAAATTACACCATTAAAACAATATAAAATATAAGTATCTTTATTTAAAATGTCTATTATTATAAGTACAGATAAGTGGTAGTACAATATTTATCATGCAAACCCTCTCATTTGAATTATTGTTGACACAGTGTATGTTTACATTAAAATTACAAAACAAGAAGTGAAAGGAAAACACGTTCTATTTAGCATTATATTGTCATCTATCACTAGTGTGTCTGTCACAGGAAAGACACGGGCATTATTGGTTGAATGTTGGAATGGATGAACTCTTATGTACTTTAAATTATAAGAACCTTCATGGACATTTGTGATAGGCACAAAATTACAAAACAACCATAAGACTTAGTTCATATTTCAGTTTCCAGGAATATATCCTATGTTAATGTTCTGAAGTGCATACTAATGCATGCCATAGTTATTCAGGATATATATCTTCCCCACAACAGGACTCAGGTTAAATATGTCAAGGCAATTATTATAATGGAATATAGATCTATTTAAAAATAAGGAATTGATTATTTCCTAAGAAATCATAGCCATAAATCAGCAAATTACAAACCATCATATCATGTCACACAGATAAGACAGTATACATAAAGATGCAGGTGTATACAAGCATAAGGAAACTTCTAGAAGGAAATGCATAAAATGTTAAAAATGGATATCATTTGGTTGTTAAAATTAAATGTTGACTATCATCAGAATCTTCTACACTGAATTTTAATCTTTAAAATGTACATATAATTTGACAGTTACAGATAAATACAAATTTATTTTCAAACTAAATGCATTTCTTAACTTAAAAATGTTACTAAATGAAAAGCACAAACTCTCTAATGAAAAGTACTACACAAAGGCTAGTCTCATTTTAATACGTTTCTTCATTTGAAATTAATAATGGAATAGATTTTATATTTTAACATAGCACTTATAGTCTATGACCAAGTTTAGAGAGTGAATGTGGCTAAGTAGGTTATTTTCTCATTTGTATGCCAAGTCACCTCTGTGGATTTTTTTGCTTGTCTGGAAATATCAAGATATCTTCCAATCAAATCTTTAACAGATTATAGCCTGTGAATTTTTATTAAGTACAGATGAACAATTCTGGTCATTCATAAAAAGGGGCTAATACGTCCTTACCTTTCAATGAAAAGTAAACACTGGTCTTTTTGGTTGTAGCAGAACTGAATCCTGTAAATAAAAATAGCAAATATCTGTTTTTAAACTTCATTTAGCAAAAGTTTGTTTACATATTACTGAACTTGTAAATCATTCTTTAATATGGATACAATTCAAAATTAGAAGGAAATTGGTAGCAGATGACACCTTAAACACTTACAGATGATGCACTTGCGTTAGAACAAATCCCCCCTCCCATCCTGCTGTTCGTGGAATTGAAACCTGCTGCACAAAAGTCTGAAACAAATCCTCCGCTTTTAAAAAATATTACCTTACGTTTGAATACCCCTTTGTTTTATCTAAAATTTTGCTACAAGCATTGAAAAGAACTACGTGGCAATTTAGCAATAAGATTAGAGTACATTTTATGCCATCTTTAAAACAGAAATACGTTAAAAAATGGTGTAACTGACTCACGGCAACATGGGTTCGCAAACCTTGTAGATGGATATAAACCAGGCTTGCCAAACATCACAGACAGCACTTATTAAATCTGCTACGTGGAATGCAATATGCCTGCTGTCTAGCCCCTCCCCCCTCTGCCAATAAACGACTCCCCCTTTTCCAGTGTGAAAACACATGCTCATGGAATATTTAGAGAAAATCATGTTTGTTTGCGTGTTTTCCCCACGTCAGTCATCCCTAGTCACACTATCCAATGACGCCACTTGGAGCGTTTTCACTCTTTTTTTTTTTTTTCTTTCCATTAACAGTTTGCGGTGCGGAAGCCGTGATCATCCAAATGGGAATTCAGAATGGGCAGTTGAGCTAAAGGGATCCTTCTCTTCGGTTGCTAGGAACTATAGCTGGCGTTTTTAACCTCATATCTACGCTCCCCCCCCACCCCCCGTCTCTCTCCCTTTGAATTAAAAACCACATAGGGAGAGAATTTGGGGAGGGGGGAGGGAACCCGACTTTCGGGGGTTTGTGCCTCAGCTACCAAGGCTCATCTGGGAATGTGGGAGGAGCCGGGAGGAAGAGCGGCTGCCTTCGGCCATTTATTGGCTGTAACGCTCGTCAATCAAGGCTGTCCAACAAATGAGGAGCGAACTAATGGCATCCTGGGAACGAAAATAACGGGAGGGGTATCAGCAAGGGGAGGGGCTCGCCATCCTAACCCAGAAGACCATTCTGTGTTCGGTACTGCGCCATTCGACTGCGGCACGTCTCGGCTTCTGTCTATTGCGGCCTAAACAGGCCTTGTCGCCAAGGCTCCCGGCCGGCTTCCGCTACCGCGGCTTCCTGCGCGCCGCTGCCGTGGCCCCGCCCCAGCCGCACCACCGCCGCAACCGCTGCAGTCCTTGCCGCTGTGGGTCTCCTGCCGCAGCCACCTCCACCACCGCCACCGCGACCGCCGCCACCGCAGCCGCCGCCGCCGCACCAGCCCGGGCCTTCGCAGTCGCCTCCAGAGCATCCGTGAGTCATTTCCTGCCCATCTCTGGGTGAGCGATCTCTGTTGTCACCACTTTAAAGAGGTGTACGGGGCTAGCAGCATGGCAGAAGCGGATCCTAAAATGGTCACAGAACCTGCCGCCCATGGGGTTGCTGAAGAGGCGATGGCTAGCTCAGCTAGTGATTCTGGGGAAGAATCTGACAGCAATAGCTCTAGCAGTACCTCTAGTTGCAGCAGCAGCAGCAGCAGCGGCAGCAGCAGCAGCAGTAGCAGCAGCAGCAGCAGCAGTAGCAGCAGCGGCAGCAGTAGCAGTGGCAGCAGCAGCCGTGGCAGTCAAGTATACCGAAAGAAGAGGGTACCTCAGCCTCCCAGAAGGGCCCAGAGGCCTCCCTCCGGGAAACATTTCTTGGATAAGCTGCCTCAGGCTGTGAGAAACCGGGTGCAGGCACTCCGAAATATTCAGGATGAGTGTAACAAGGTAGACACCTTGTTCTTAAGGGCAATTCATGATCTTGAAAGAAAATATGCTGAACTCAATAAGCCTCTGTATGATAAGCGTTTTCAGATCATAAATGCAGAATATGAGCCCACAGAAGAAGAATGTGAGTGGAATTCAGAAGAAGAGTTCAGCGGTGATGAGGAAATGCAGGATGACACACCGGATGAAATGCCTCCCTTAGAGGGTGAGGAAGAAGAAGAAGCTGGAGTAAAGGAAGAAGAAAAGGATGTTCCAAAAGAAGTACCTGAGGCAAAAGTTGAAGAAAACAAGGCTCCCAAAGAAATTCCTGAGGTGAAAACTGAAGAAGAAGAAATTCCAAAAGAAGTTCCTGAAGAAAAAGTTGAAGCAAAGGAGGCCTCTGAAGAAATTCCTGAGGTAAAGATTGAAGAAAAGGAAGCCTCTGAAGAAATTCTTGAGGTGAAGATTGAAGAAAAGGAAGCCTCTGAAGAAATTCCTGAGGTGAAGATTGAAGAAAAGGAAGCCTCTGAAGAAATTCCTGAGGTAAAGGTTGACGAAAAGGCAGACTCTACAGATTGTATAGAGATAACTCCTGAAGAAAAAGAAGACCCCAAAGACGTTCTCCAGGCAAATGCAGAAAATAAGGATCAGCCCACAGAAGAATCTAAAGTAAGGGCTCCAGTAAGAGAGGCTCAAAAAAGAGTTCCTGAGACAAGGCCTGAAGGAGGGAAAGTTAAAAGAGCTCGAAAGGGAAAACCTAAGAGAGAAGATCCTAAAGGTATTCCTGACTATTGGCTGACTGTTTTAAAGAATGTTGATAAGCTTGGGCCTATGATTCAGAAGTGTGATGAGCCCATTTTGAAGTTCTTGTCTGACGTTAGCCTGAAGTTCTCAAATCCTGGCCAGCCTGTGAGTTACACTCTTGAATTTCATTTCCTGCCTAACCCATACTTCAGAAATGAGCTCCTGATGAAGACATACATAATAAGGTCAAAACCAGATCACTATGACCCTTTCTTTGCTTGGGGGTGGGAAATTGAAGAGTGCAAAGGCTGCAAAATAGACTGGAGACGAGGAAAAGATGTTACAGTGACAACCACCCGGAGTCGCCCATCTGCTACTGGAGCAATTGAAGTCCAGCCAAGAGTGGTTCCAAATGCATCCTTCTTCAATTTCTTTAGTCCTCCTGAGATTCCTTTGATTGGGAAGCTGGAACCAAAAGAAGATGCTATCCTTGATGAGGACTTTGAAATTGGTCAAATCTTGCATGATAATGTCGTCTTGAAATCAATCTATTACTTCACAGGAGAAATCAATGATCCCTACTACCATGATGTCAGGGATTATGGAAACAGGAAGTACTACAAGTGAAAAAGGCAAGCTAAAATATTTTTGAAGAATGTTAAAAAGTCAAGCAAGCAGAAGTGAAACAGATTCACCTAACCTTGTAAAAGATAAAACTTGCCCTATTACCTGAACACTATTACTCCTTATAGTCTGGTGTTTTCATTTTTCCTGGTAATGTCCTAAAAAAGTGTCTTAAGCATCTGTCTATTCTACCTTGCCTGTTGTATTGTAATATTCTTCAAAATATGTAAACTGCTGTTAATTTTCCAAAGCATGGTTGTTTTTTTTGGTGCTACAGTGTTGGTTTTGTGAAGTCCTTTCGTCATGTTCCTAGTAGATTGTACCTGTGCAAATTGTCAGACTTGTTAGACAAATCTTTGCCTGAAAAAGCAAAACTTTAAATGCCAATGTGTAAGTGTTTTCTCTTTCTTTTTTCAGCCCAGAAGTTTAAGGACTTAAATCTGCTTGCACTAGTTGTGCCTTCATTACTTTGCCATAGAAATGTAGTAATAATACTAACTAAAACATTTTATTGTGAAATGTAGTTGCTCGAGAAAAAAAGATGAGAATATATTTAAAAATATCTGTTAGTGCCACATTAGAGTTTTGTGAGTTTGTTTATGTGATGTATTGGTCTATAAACAAAAGTATTATTTACCACTAAGGTGTTAAATATGATATAGTATTTTAAAAAGTTGCATCATTGTATATTGTGTAATTGAAAACTAAAGAAACTATTTTATTTGTAATGTGTTCTGCTTTGCCTTTCGTTGAAAATTAATACATTATTTGATACTTTTTCATGTTCTTTTATTGCACCCTAAAATAAATAAATGTCAAATAAACTGCCATGCTATAAAAACGTGCCATTTTCTCTTAATTATAAAAATGTGTTTATCATAAAAGGAATACATTAATGAGTTTATGACTGTTCAGTAAATATATGACTACTAACGTTCTGATATATTTCCTAGATCATAATTCTTCAACTGGAGGATACCAATGGAGAAACTGGAGAGGAATGGGACAGGAGAAGGAGGAGATCATGGGAGGTAGAAGAGGAAAGTGGAAGTAGATAAAGGGTGAGAAAGAAGTAAATGGGAGGAAGAAGAGGGAGAAATATGTGTATAGGGAAGGGGAAGGGAATGAAGTAGGGGAGGGAACAGTTGGGAGGGGAGGAGGAGAGTATCTTACTCAGAAAGATGTGAGCTGCTGGTTTCAAATGCCCAGGGCCTACCCCGTTCTTTGATCTGCAGGAGGTCACAATATCATGACTTTTGTTTTTTTTATAGGTGACATCATTTTTCATCTGTACATCACAGCTGGTCCCAAGGTAATCACATCCTAAAATTTGGGGTTGAGTCTAGCCAGAGGACTAGGCTCCTTAAATTTAGTTTTACTAATGTGCTCTGTACTGGGTATTAAGACTATAAAGACATAATAAGCACTAGAAGTAATAAAGTACCTTATTTCACGTTACTATTTCTCCATACAGATGTTTTCCATCAAGATGATATGAAATGACTGTGACAGGAAGAAGACAGGATTACAGAATTTCTGGGTCTTTGAGCATAAAATTTGGTAATAATCATCCCAGATCCCACCATGTTTCTGTGTATTTACCTTTTCATTATCAAAAACACAGAGAAAAGCTGCTAAGCTTTAGTAAGAGTTCTAAGAAGGATGTTGCATGCCAGGTAAAAGTTTTAAAGGTACTGCTATAAATGTTGCCTAGCAGCTACAAAATATATCCACTTTGGCAACCTATGCAGCCACAGAACAAGGCATATTATATTGTTCATAGTTCAGTATCTTTCTTTTATTCTTGCTTAATAACAGTTTTCTATCCCATTTATGTAAAAGGAAAAATATGTATAACCCATGACATGTATACATAACTAGTCAAGTATACTTGGATTTTTAGGTTATAATATAAATGTCAAGAAACACATTGTTTATTTTTACATTACTGTTAGGCAGCCAAGAATGCTCCCCCCCCTTTTTTTTCCCAAGACAGGGTTTCTCTGTGTAGCTTTGCGCCTTTCCTGGGACTCACTTGGTAGTCCAGGCTGGCCTCGAACTCACAGAGATCCGCCTGCCCCTGCCTCCCGAGTACTGGGATTAAAGGCGTGCGCCACCACCGCCCGGCAAGAATGCCCCTTTTAATTGAGATTTTTTGCACTCATCAAGAGTCCTTAGAACATAGGTGATCCATCTTCAGATGAGCACTCAGTTATTTATAATCAGCACTTAGACCAGTTATGGGTCTCTAAATTAGCTGTTATCCAACGCAGAAAGGAGTGTCTCTGACCAGAGTTGAAAGCAGTGTAAATCTATGAGAATAAACAAATATTTATAATGCAGTTTGTCGGCATGACCAGGTAGCATGTTCATATGGACAACACTAACAGGACTCAGGGTTATAACACTAACAGGACTCAGGGTTATAAATATCAAAGATATAAAGATGGGAGGGAGATGGAGAGGAGAGATTTGGGGGGAATTGGAGGGTGGTAGTGGTGGATGGCTATGGTTAAAACATATATAAATATATGGAACATTCAGAGAACATAAAAATTATTTAAAAAAATTTATTGGGTAGATTTACTTGTATGGCAGAGCCAAAATGAAGACTAATAAATATAATATGCTTTGTTCTGTGGCTGCATAGGTTGCCAAAGTGGATATATTTTGTAGCTGCTAGGCAACACTTAGAACTTTTAAAAGTTCTACCTGGAATGAACATCCTTCTTAGAACTCTTAAAAGTTGAGCCGCTTTTCTCTGTGCTTTTCATAATGAAAATAAACACACAGAAACATATTATATTAAAATATGACTTGCTTAGAGATGCTGTTTCATTCTCCCAGTCGTTAACTCAAGACCAAAGGTGAATTACAATGGATAGGTATAAGAGAAGCTAAATGGAGTTTCCTGCTATTTGTTTAACTTTTAACTATTAAGAATGGAGAAAGGGATGAAATTACAAAAGAAGGTGTGTAATGGTAACATTAAGATTTCTGAAACACAAGCAGTCTGTGCAGGATGCATCAACTCCTCGGGAAGATTAAGAAGAGCAGGGAAACCTATTAGCCTACAGAATTCATTGGCATGCATGTTTATCTGTTGAAACTCATAAGCCAATGGATGTTGTAAAAAGAAATCTCCAGAGAATGAAGCTAGTGGCACCGTGAAAGATGCTTAGCAGGGTCTTCCGTACCTTTCTTATATTCTTTTTTGCTGTTATTCAAAGCTGAAGCCAACTGCCGACCTCAATGCTGCCAACCTGAGCAAGAAAGTGACCTCTGCCGCTTCATCCTTTCACTCTTCCTTAACAGTTAATACCATCTGCTCCATGATGAGTTTATTCCTGTTCAGAGTTGGTCTACCCTGGTCAATCTAAACATTTGCTATTTTCTTTAACAGGCCAGGCTGAGATGACAAGAGACTGTCAGCAGCAGTAGCAATAGCAGCAAGAGCAACAGCAGCAAAGTTTGCTAAAGAAGCCATAGAAGAGCACTTAGAAGTTAGAGGCAGGAAGGTCAGGAATCGTAAGTTATACTTGGCCACAGAGCAAGTTCCTGGAGACTAGCCCAGGCTACTTGAAAACCTACCTTTAAAAGAAAATAGGGGCTAGAGATGTGACTCAGTGGTTAAGAACAATTGCCTGTATTTCACAGCACCTGGGTTCAGTTCCCAGCAGCCATATGCCTGTTCACAACCCTTTTCAAGTCCAGTTCCAGGGGATTTGTGCTTTCTTCTGGCCTTGGGAAGCAGGCATGCATGAAGTGCACATATATACATGCAGGCAAACACAATACATATGATTAATTATTGAATATAATTGTTATAAATAATGAGCACTATGTGAGGTTTACTGTTATAACAGATTAAAAAGCTGAATATCCTGAAAGTGATAGGGATTTAGATTTTAAGAGGAATAGTAAAGTTGAGAAACAATGGCAAAAATTGAAAACAAAATTAAGAGGAAAATTGTTCAACTATACATTTATGTTACATCTGGACTTGTATATTTCAAAGGAAATGTGTAGCAGATCTAAGCTAGTGTTACACTGAGATTTGATCTTCAGAATATTCAGAAATTGTGAATTGCAATAGTATCACGAGACCAGGGGAAATAAAAAATACCTTTCTAAAAACCATGATAATCACATTTTAAACGGGACGTTCAACCTATAGTGAATTTCCATGTTTCTTCTCTTGAAATTTTACAGTGCTTGAAACTGGAATTTATGAAAAAAGAGAAAAGAATGTTAAATTGTGACTTTTGTGAGCTGGGGTTTATTCTGCATGCTTTCTAATTCGGAGAGGAGAGAATGCAGCTCTAGGATGAGAACAAAGTGAAAGACTAGCTGAGATCCTCACTGAAATGTTTATGAGCTCCATGGGGAGTTTTCAGTATCTCAAAAGGATTTTCAGCATCTGACAGTAGTGCATGATAGAAATTGGCAAAAGCAGATTGCCATTTCTTGCAGTACAGCTTCAACAAAATCACACAATATTTAAAGGGTTTTTTTTTTCTCTTTGAAGATTGTATTTTAAAATAGCAAAAATGAAATGCTATGTATTAAAACATATAGGACTTATGAGAAACAGCTGCAGCAAATTTCCTGAAGCATCTTCAGTCATTACTGTGTAATTTAGTTATTACAGTGTCATAAAACTGTAAGAGGAAAGCAGAAAATTCTCAGAACTCTCCATGAAGGTGACATTTTTATGTGGACAAATATACTTATAGAGCCATTGGAGGGGTTTTGGTTTGCTTTGGTTTGGGTTTTGGCTCTAGCTCAAAAATAGGAAGAATTTGCCTAGTGGTGGTGGTGGTGGTGGTGGCGGTGGCGGCGGCGGCGGCGGCGGCGGTGGCGGCAGCGGCGGCGGCGGCACTTTTAATCCCAGCACTCGGGAGACAGAGGCAGTCGGATCTCTGTAAGTTCGAGGCCAGCCTGGTCTACAGAATGAGTTCCAGGAAAGGCACAGAGCTACACAGGGAAACCCTGTCTCGAAAAACCAAAAAAAAAAAAAAAAAAAAAAAAAGGAAGAGTTTAAGCCAACTTGTATCAGTTTACCTACATTATTTTGCTGTAAAGACAATGGTACTTTATTGGGGAGATGCAATATTCTGAAAATATCTCAGGTTATTTTTTTTATTTTTATTTTTTTATTTAATTTTTTAAAAATCTATTTACATACCAACCACAGATCACCCTCTCATCCCTCATCTAGCTCCCCTGCAGGCCACCCCCAAACCCACTCCCCATCCCCTCCTCCAAAAGGCCACCCATGGGGAGTCAGCAAAGCCTGGTACATTCAGTTGAGTCAGGACTAAGCCCCACCCCCCTGAGAACATGAGGATCTCTTATGTTCTTAATTTACTTTTGCTGAAACTCACAGCCAGAGTTAATACACATTGAGGTCACTTAAGACTGCTAGCCTATTCTGTACTCTCTTTAACTAGCTTTTAAGAGAACTATGTCTTAAACTAGTGGAAAAGCATGAATTGTGGACCAATAGCTGAGGAGCCCCCATGGTACTAGACTGGGCCCTCTGAATAGTTGAGAAAGCTGTTTGGCTTGAACTGTTTAGGGGACCCCCAGGCAGTGGGATCAGAACCTGTCCCTGGTGCATGAGCTGGCATTTTGGAACCTAGTGCCTATGGTGGGACACTTTGTGCAGCCTTGTGCAGGAAGGAGGGGCTTGGACCTGCCTCAACTGAATGTACCAGGCTCTCCTGACTTCCCAATGGGAGACCTTGCCTTGGAGGAGGTGGGAATAGGGGGTGGGTTTGGGGGAGAAGGCTGGGTGGTGGGAGGAGGGAGGACAGGGGAATCTGTGGTTGGTATGTAAAATGAATAGAAAATCTCTTAATAAAAAAAAGTATTAAAAGAACTACATAACAATTAACCTTAGGCTTTTACAGCCTAAGCTAATACAAAGCTGCAATCTAAATTACATTTTAACATGCCCCAACCCAAAGCAGTGCATGTATTTCATTTGCTGAAGACAGTAAACACAGAAGTTGAAAATAACTTTCTAAAGTCTACCATAAAGTTTGAAAGGAACTTTTCTGGATTGCTAAACAATGACATTTATTATCTGAGCCAATTACGATCAGCTTGAGCCAGTGAGCGTTCCTTGTAAAACTGTTAAAATTTTCTGTAAAGTATCTCATTCCTTCCCTATAGGATGCTTTCTGCTTTTAAATGAAGACAAAGTGAAGTTCTTTGTTAGGGACAGACACCACTCACACAGGTACACACATAGTCACATGACAGACATACGTAAGGACAGACAGGGGCAAACAGGTCCATAAGACAGCCTTCAAGGGGACAGAGATTCACAGTCATGCAGACAGGATGGAAGACAAGGGGAAGTGTGAAGTAGAGAATTCAAATCTGGAGTCTCTCTTGGGTAAAGGAGTTCAAGGGCAAGTGCTTTTCTTTCTTTCCTTAATGGGACACCGATTCATTATGGGTGATTAGGAGCTAATCACTAATAAGTATTATCCACACACTACAAATATTTGTCACTTGATTAAAGTAGTAAAATATGGACTTGTGTTGCATAGCATAATGAATCTATCTATAATCCCAATACTTAGGAGGATGAGGAAGGGAGATCAAGAATTCGAGGTTATTCGGGACTACATAGTGAGTTCCTGGCCAGACTGAACTGCATGAGACACCCTCTCCAAAAATAATGATAATCATAATAATAAATTAAAAATAAACAGTGGAGAACTTGTAGAAAAGAAATAATATAAATTATTGTATATTATGTATTTTTGCATGTACTTGGATTTATACAGAAAAAAAAATAATCATAATGAATTATTCCCCAAAGTGGTTTAGGGAAAGTGTAACCTTTTTAAGTTTCTCTTTAATAATGTAACCAAATTATTAGGCATATTTTCCTTGCAATAACACTTATATTCAACTTCATGTTCTGATTTATCTGTAAAATTTGGAAAATGTACAAAGCAGTATAAAATACTTCTCTACATTTTGAGCAGTTGTGGATCTCTGTGGTAGTCTGCATTTGTTGCAAAAGGAAGCTTTTATGATAAGAGTTGAGAGCTATACTTATGTGGGCATAAGGATATGTATTTAGAATACAGTTAGAAATTACATTAGTTTAGGGAAATAGAAATAGGTTCTCTCCTAGGGCCTGTGACCTCTTCAGCTACAGATAGCTGGTTTAAGTCCCATTGACAACTGTTGCTTTCCCACAAGATAAAAATGCCATTATACCTTTGGGAATATCCTGCTGGATAAGTCATTACGGTTTATAAGCTTTAATGCTGCATAGAACTATTACTTCTTTCTCTGTGTGGTCTCTTCAAGTTTG